AGGAGTTGAGTTCCATATTACTGTAAAAGCACCAATGGGGTCCGTATTTCACCCATCGCCATCTCGAATTAACTTATGTCTGTCGAGACCAAAATTTAAAAAACGTGAACATCACATAGATTAATATGTATCCCTAAGTCTCTGGAACGGAATACATGCACCAGTGAACCTACAACTACGCGATTTATATTTTAAAAATAATTAAATTCACTTAGCATTCAAAACTTGTGAATTTTGAAAAAAACAAATTTGCCGATTAAATACGGACAATGTTTAACTGAATTAAAACGGGTTTTCTCCTTGCTACGGATGTCTGCCTAGTTCGGTTCGGCCACATTCCGTTACAGTTCGCCTTTATTATCGGTTCGAAATGGGGTGGTTCCATAATACCCGCAGTGTTCCATAATACCACCTTCTCCTCTAATTCTAATAGATCTTTTAAACTCTTTGCGCGCGGTGGGCACCGAGAGGGCTTTCTTAAAAAGCCCATTGCGGATTCGGCCGGGCCTACAATCGGGCGGTCGGGTGCCGAGGGATGGAACCCGATATGTCCGGACGGTAGATTCCCCGAAAAATTCTCGGGGTCTTAATCCATTCCGGATCTCCCAAAGCGGTGGGTTGCCACCCCAACCACTCGGCCGTACGGTCGACTTTTCGATAACTTTATAAAAGTTTATTATTAAAATTTGTTGATAATGTAAAATTATATTTTAAAATATTTCGGCTTTGACGGGATTTTCGCGAGTGTTAAACGCGAAAAAGAAAAACACGAAAAGTCTACGCCACCCGCCAGTTGCCTGGAGCAAAACCCGAAACCCACTATTCTATTACCGGTGGTATTACGATAGGGACAATCGGACGAAGAGGGACGGGACTCGACCCGTCCGAAGCTAATCCCCGAGAATCTGTCGGCCCGAAAAATGTTATTTCATTTATTACTCTTTAATAACTTTGATGAACTGACATATTTTTTAAAATAAAAAATATCCAAGCATTTATTAACAAAGCTTTTTTGTTTTACCTCGAATAATATGTAAACTGTTTCAGATTTTGATATTAAATATATGTAAACTGTTAGAATTTTACAAAATTAACTAAAACAAAAATTAAATTACAATATACACTATATGTAAGCTATATTGCATAGCTTGTATATACTATGTAGGCTATACCGTATACGCCAGGCCGTGGGAATGTACCGTACTGTACGTATCAAATTAAATGAATGATATTAAAAATAATAATTGTTTAGAAAGAAACTAAAATATAATCGAATCTCCAACAAAGGCCGCGTCTGAACCATCGTTTTGTCAATTTTGTCGATACAAAATAACCTGCAAACAACGGCCATTTTACGTTTCCGTCAGTGGCCGTACGTAAATACTGTACTTCAATTTTTCGTAACTAATATTCGATAATATGTTAAATTAATCTCGTAAACGTTGTAAAATTTAAACATTTCGTTAGAAAAACTGCAAAAAAGTTATTTTGTTTTTTTCATACGATTTTTATTCGTTTTATATCGGTAATAAAAACAACAATAATGAGGAAAACTTAATATTTACGCTGTTTTATTCAACAGATATTTGGATTTCATTCGATAAATAATTCAGCTTTTGAATTAGACTAAATTTCTTTATTTTTAATTAACGTTTTATAAGATGAGAATAACTTGTAAATGTTTACTGAAAGAATGATAATGCGTAGCCTACACTTTTTGTGCAGATATGTTGTCTCTCAGGTTCCTTTACAACACTCCCGTAGGAACGTTGATAACGAATTTCTCGAATAAGGGAGAAAACAAGGATAAAGTCATTCCTTATTCCAACGTAACGACGTCGGGAGATGCCGATTTGGACGAATATTTATCTAATATTCCTAAGGCACAATTATTCAAAGGAATTTGGTTACAAGGATATTTAGTGCCGCCGAATATTTTAGAAAATTTAGAAAATTTCCAAGTAAGATCCGACGACGTTTTTATCGTCACTTATCCCAAATCAGGTACATTTAAAATAGATCTTTTCTATTAGCCGATTTACCTAAGATTAATTTCATAAATACGTCGTTTAGGTACCACGTGGACCGAAGAGATATTGTCTCTGATATACAATAACGGAGACGTCGAGAAGGCCGAGAAAACGCTACTCAATTATCGAGTGGAACACTTAGAAGTCGGACGAGTGTTTGGTCATTTACGTCACCTGAAAAACATGAAATCGCCACGATTAATGGCCACTCACCTTCCCTTTCGTTTGCTTCCCAAACAGTTAAGAAGACCTAAATGTAAAGTAAGTATTCCAATTAATCCGCGCATCTTCTAATTATCCATTAAACGTAAATAAATAAGTAATAAACGTTGGGAATGTTTCTTAAAGTTAGAATAATGGCACCGTTTCGATTCGTAGATCATATACGTCGCTCGAAACCCGAAAGATAACGCGGTATCTTATTATCATCACCACAAAATGAGCACATTTTTAGGAAACTTTCGAGGATCTTGGGAAAAATTTCTATCGTATTACGCCAAAGGACACGGTAAGTAATATTTCTTATACTTCTGAAGAAACGCCTAAACTTTTTTATAATTTAATCGTTTAAAATAGCGATAATTACGTTAAATTACATCAACGCGGACTAATTTGGATCTTAACAATTTCATTTATTTATTAATTTAATTAACAGTTGTATATGGTTCCCCCTAAGTCTCTGGAACGGAATACGTGCACCAGTGAACCTACAACTTCACGATTTATATTTTAAAAATAATTAAATTCGCTTAGCATTCAAAACTTGTGAATTTTGAAAAAAACAAATTTGCCGATTAAATACGGACAACCGTTTAACCGAAGTAAAACGGGTTTTCTCCTTGCTACGGATGTCTGCCTAGTTCGGTTCGGCCACATTCCGTTACAGTTCGCCTTTATTATCGGTTCGAAATGGGGTGGTTCCATAATACCCGCAGTGTTCCATAATACCACCTTCTCCTCTAATTCTAATAGATCTTTTAAACTCTTTGCGCGCGGTGGGCACCGAGAGGGCTTTCTTAAAAAGCCCATTGCGGATTCGGCCGGGCCTACAATCGGGCGGTCGGGTGCCGAGGGATGGAACCCGATATGTCCGGACGGTAGATTCCCCGAAAAATTCTCGGGGTCTTAATCCATTCCGGATCTCCCAAAGCGGTGGGTTGCCACCCCAACCACTCGGCCGTACGGTCGACTTTTCGATAACTTTATAAAAGTTTATTATTAGAATTTGTTGATAATGTAAAATTATATTTTAAAATATTTCGGCTTTGACGGGATTTTCGCGAGTGTTAAACGCGAAAAAGAAAAACACGAAAAGTCTACGCCACCCGCCAGTTGCCTGGAGCAAAACCCGAAACCCACTATTCTATTACCGGTGGTATTACGATAGGGACAATCGGACGAAGAGGGACGGGACTCGACCCGTCCGAAGCTAATCCCCGAGAATCTGTCGGCCCGAAAAATGTTATTTCATTTATTACTCTTTAATAACTTTGATGAACTGACATATTTTTTAAAATAAAAAATATCCAAGCATTTATTAACAAAGCTTTTTTGTTTTACCTCGAATAATGTGTAAACTGTTTCAGATTTTGATATTAAATATATGTAAACTGTTAGAATTTTACAAAATTAACTAAAACAAAAATTAAATTACAATATACACTATATGTAAGCTATATTGCATAGCTTGTATATACTATGTAGGCTATACCGTATACGCCAGGCCGTGGGAATGTACCGTACTGTACGTATCAAATTAAATGAATGATATTAAAAATAATAATTGTTTAGAAAGAAACTAAAATATAATCGAATCTCCAACAAAGGCCGCGTCTGAACCATCGTTTTGTCAATTTTGTCGATACAAAATAACCTGCAAACAACGGCCATTTTACGTTTCCGTCAGTGGCCGTACGTAAATACTGTACTTCAATTTTTCGTAACTAATATTCGATAATATGTTAAATTAATCTCGTAAACGTTGTAAAATTTAAACATTTCGTTAGAAAAACTGCAAAAAAGTTATTTTGTTTTTTTCATACGATTTTTATTCGTTTTATATCGGTAATAAAAACAACAATAATGAGGAAAACTTAATATTTACGCTGTTTTATTCAACAGATATTTGGATTTCATTCGATAAATAATTCAGCTTTTGAATTAGACTAAATTTCTTTATTTTTAATTAACGTTTTATAAGATGAGAATAACTTGTAAATGTTTACTGAAAGAATGATAATGCGTAGCCTACACTTTTTGTGCAGATATGTTGTCTCTCAGGTTCCTTTACAACACTCCCGTAGGAACGTTGATAACGAATTTCTCGAATAAGGGAGAAAACAAGGATAAAGTCATTCCTTATTCCAACGTAACGACGTCGGGAGATGCCGATTTGGACGAATATTTATCTAATATTCCTAAGGCACAATTATTCAAAGGAATTTGGTTACAAGGATATTTAGTGCCGCCGAATATTTTAGAAAATTTAGAAAATTTCCAAGTAAGATCCGACGACGTTTTTATCGTCACTTATCCCAAATCAGGTACATTTAAAATAGATCTTTTCTATTAGCCGATTTACCTAAGATTAATTTCATAAATACGTCGTTTAGGTACCACGTGGACCGAAGAGATATTGTCTCTGATATACAATAACGGAGACGTCGAGAAGGCCGAGAAAACGCTACTCAATTATCGAGTGGAACACTTAGAAGTCGGACGAGTGTTTGGTCATTTACGTCACCTGAAAAACATGAAATCGCCACGATTAATGGCCACTCACCTTCCCTTTCGTTTGCTTCCCAAACAGTTAAGAAGACCTAAATGTAAAGTAAGTATTCCAATTAATCCGCGCATCTTCTAATTATCCATTAAACGTAAATAAATAAGTAATAAACGTTGGGAATGTTTCTTAAAGTTAGAATAATGGCACCGTTTCGATTCGTAGATCATATACGTCGCTCGAAACCCGAAAGATAACGCGGTATCTTATTATCATCACCACAAAATGAGCACATTTTTAGGAAACTTTCGAGGATCTTGGGAAAAATTTCTATCGTATTACGCCAAAGGACACGGTAAGTAATATTTCTTATACTTCTGAAGAAACGCCTAAACTTTTTTATAATTTAATCGTTTAAAATAGCGATAATTACGTTAAATTACATCAACGCGGACTAATTTGGATCTTAACAATTTCATTTATTTATTAATTTAATTAACAGTTGTATATGGTTCCTGGTTTGACCACGTGCTGTCCTATTGGGAATTTTACTTATCTCATCCGGATAAAGTTCTATTTATTACTTTTGAAGAATTAAAAATAGTAAGAAATTTATTTATAAGTAAAATTTCAAATTTTCAGAACTTTTTAAATGCATTAACGCACTTTTGATTTAAAAAACCTTTCGAAGGATTTGCCCGGGATGATATCTCGAATATCGAACTTTGTAGGGTGTCCGATCTCTTCCGAAGCGATCCAAAGAATCTCGGAACATTGTACTTTTGAGAGAATGAAGACGAATGCCATGGTAAACAGAGAAGTACTTCCCATACCCGATCTTTTCGATATGACTCAATCGAAATTTATGAGAAAAGGTGTTTGTTTTTTTAATAAAGGAAAGTAGGTGTAAAATTTTCATACAAATTAAAATTTGATCATATTTATCAGGAATTATCGGCGATTGGAAGAATTACTTTTCTCCGGATCAAAACCAAAGCTTCGACAAACTGTATCGAAACCGCATGAAAGATTCGGGATTGAATTTAGCATTCGAACCGGAAGACGCCTTTACGAGAATGAAGGAACACGGAAGAATCGTGGTCGTAACTCCCGATTTGTTCGTCGCTCGAAAAGGTTACGATTTAGATAAGCTAGAATATATCAAAAGCCAGAAAGAAAATAAAAACCAAACAGAACTCGATGGCAGTCGTTCCAATGCAAATTTAATGAGGAATAGATGTAGATGCTTCATACCCTCTTTCCATCCGCATTTCCAACCGGACATATTAGGATTCGACGTATTTTGATAATATCGATTAAATTATCGGGCCCCCTCCCTCGCCGCCCGGCCGCCCCATTTCGGACCCGTCCGAACCCTAATGGGCTTCCTAAAAAAAGAGGCCTCTTAGTGCCACGGAACAGAAAGAGTAAAGAAAAACGTATCAATTAAATTACAATTTTTGAAAAATTATTTCAAAAATTGCTTATTTCTACTATTTAAGGCCGTGTAAATTTATTTGATATATCGATAGAATAAATCTTTGACGATAACGCGAAGTAGAGGGGACCAAACTATAGAAAAAAGAAAAGATTGGATAAACTCGACAATTTCAATCATCCGATAACGATAATAATAATACAGAATATTAATGTATATACATATTTACAGAGATTTGGTTTAGAAATAACGATAGACAGATGTACAATAAGCGTCGAAGCAATGTTTAATTTAAGGGCCCTCCGTTAATTACTCGTAGAGGAAGAGAGGAAGGAGGTTGCGAAAATACGTCGTCGTAGCTACACGAGAAATCAAAAATGGCTTTAAAAATTGTAGGCGGTCCCTTAGCGCTTAACGACTTCGGGGCACGGATCTACCGCACATTTATACGTTGTAAAGACGTATTTCGACCGGTATTTTATCCATGGCCAAACACTGCTTACGTCCAACCTAATCGATGCGGGGCGTAAGGTATTCTCTAAAATTCCGGAACCTTTTATAATTTATAAATATATTTAAATGTGTGTATAATGTATTCGGGTTTCCTTTACTTGGCATTTTTCGAAACGCTACTCCTGTGTAAATAAAAATATCACGCGGGAAGAATAAAAATTAATCCCGTCGATAGATGGCAGCACCATTATAAGAAAACTGTGTTTTTATTAAAATTTTTCTTTAATAAGCATTCGAGTTTTAATTTCTCTTTCCGAACGAGAAAATTGCGTATAAATACGAGGAAATAAATAATGCGATTCGATAACACGAATAATTTAAGTTATTGCGGATTTTAAAAAATACACGTAAGCGTTAATTAGTATAAAGACTTATAAAATTTCTTTAAAACTATTCGCGTTGGTGTTAAAAAATCAATTTGGGATATTTTTTTCTTATAGCGATTATAACCTTGCGGGTAATTATATCGTTTGCAATATTTGACACGCGTGGATGCTGTTTATAAAACAAGGGGGGAAGTTTAAAACAACACGCTCCATTGTAAGGAGGGAATTTTTTTTCGTTCCTACTCACCTGTAACTACTCAAGTTCATTTAGCAGACGAACTGTTTACAATCAGCAGACGACATTTCGGCGCCACACCTTAAAGACGTCGGACAAGAGCAGGTACTTTACTTCATTTTTTAACTGGCCCCGAATTTTTTTTCTTTTATATAATCGAAATTAACGCCGTGTCTTCTTCACTCTCTCTCCTAAACATTAAAATAAACAACTTTCGTCGTAACACAATGCGAAAACTTTCTTCTTTTAAAAGTTATTAACGAATCGTAAAAGTCGCTTTAATGTTTGATAAAATTGTAAATTTTTCCGTTTTATCGACCTCTTCCCCCGCTTTAAAATTTCTGTCCATATACTCGGTTGCTTCTTTACAAATAATAATCATATATATATATATATTCGCATCACTCGGAGGAAAATCCTAGAATTATTACAAATAAATTTGAATAATTCTGCACTTTTAGAAGTTTATCTCGAATATATTTTGACATTTGTTCAACCCTTAAGATGGAGAGGAGTATTTTTTTTGTCGGGAAGGGATAGACACTCGCGTATAGCTAACTTTTAGAGATAAAGTTAATGTTCCCATTTAGTTTCGTTCTTGGCCGTATCTGGCGTTAGAAGACGGATTGCCCCGAGTTATCTTATAAATTAGAATCAATCCTTTACTACCGTCCCCATTCCGAGTGATTATAATCATTGGACGACTTAATGACAAATTGTCTTCGTTTGTCGATCGCCTACCGTATCGATAGTCGCCGTTACGCGCATCAATATTAATTAATACTGTATAAATATATATTAACTAATAGTGTCCGTAATGATGTCGGACGGTCCGTTAGACCGGACGTTATCTACCACGTGCAGAACTCACTTAAGTCATTCATTAGACTGACGCCGTGTAGTTTGGGACCAGACGGGTGGACCGATTTCGTCGGCAATTTTTGCAGACGTTCGACTCGAATTCCTGTCCCGATTACGGCTTATTTTCGGGCTGGCAATTCATATAATTATTTCGACCCGTGTTCGAAATACAATGATGGTAATAAAAATGAATGCCGTCGAATCGAAATCGTTTACGTGACGTCACAGTCGAGCGCCGGCGGAACAGTTACGACACGTACACTAAAATAAACTGTCGATCTCTTCCTGAACTGTAATCGAGTGTCATTGTTTGGGACATTTCGTCGATTACGAATAGAATAAATTACTTATTTTATTTTACGTATTAATACAGTATTTATTTATAAGTTATGTTATTTATATCGAGTGGGGTGAATACGACGCAAAAATTAACCTGTGTTGACTATAAATACGTTTTAAAGTTATTCGCATATTACGTCGTACATTTTTAATAGGTATATTATTTTATCGAAAGTCGCGAAATTATTTTATAAATATTTCTGTATTTGGATGACGTCAGGGGATGCGGGGATGTCGTCTATGACTCATTTCGAGAACTGTACAGTCTAACCTTTACAGTATGACATCATAATTGAAATAATCTCGACTGATGAAATGCTTTACTTACGTCAGATATTTTATATTTTAAATGTTTTTTACGGTAATTCTTTAAATTAATAACGCTTCGATTCTAATCCGAAGCTTAAAAATTATTAAAATAAAAAGAAATTTTACCCATTAAAACATTTAAAATATCTTAAAACAATTTTCTGTATAAATGAATACGAAGCCAATTTTTAATGTGGCTTATTAACTTTAAATCGATTAATATATATATTTTAAAAATAAAATGCATTATTTAAAGAAAGTCGATCATTTTACAATCCATCACAGCGGATAAGATTGCATGCAAAAAATCATTTTGGATCGGGCAGGTGGCTGGGGACCCGACACGCACGGGTTAAGGCCAACTGATCACGAAAACTTAATGACAATTGTGAACGGACCTATTATGATTCTGCAAGGGTTAAAAGATTGTCCGGAGATAATACTTTAGAAAAAAACGACAGTCGCCTAATGGCCTTATACGTATATATATATATAGCCTATAGACCTGTGCTTCACGTTATAGCGCGTGCACGGTACACCACGCGCGTGGTTATAGACGTAACACACCGTAATTCCGCGATAGGTTCTGTTAAATATTTTGTTTTGTAGTCGCAGAAAAGGTCATCATTGTTTCTCTATGATTCATAACGCCACATTTACGAGGTTAATTGGGCAGTTTGTCTATCCTGCCACTTTTTTGTCGCAGTTGATAAATATTCACGCACGGGTGAAGCTTTGTTCGCCTTGTTTTATAACCTATTCATTACTTTTTGATACTCCAATAAACTCGTTCGAATTTATTTTTTTAATTAGCCGAAATTAATATAAAAATACATCTAATATTAATAATTACTTTAAAACGACTTAAAAACGATTAAAAACGATTTCTAAAGCAATTTTTTTAAATGTAATTTGTAAAATTCGAGCATTTCTTTCTCGTAGCGTATTTTGTTGGGTCATTGTATGCCATTGAAATCACTGACCGTAGAGATTCGTTCGGGGAATTTTTCTTACTCGTTTTTATTTTTTCCGAGGTAGTAGCTCGGCGGCATTTCTAGTTGTTTTAAATTAAGAAGTAGAAAAATTCACCTCGGTAGAATGAGACGGTCGAGTAAATAGAATGAATCACTATTCACCGGGAAAATTGCCGAAATTTAATTCATTACGTCTTCGTTAGAAGCGCTAGAATTATTTAAATAAGTACATTTTATTCCATAAATTCCATATAATTGTTAAATTAATAGGACTATTAATAAATTTATACGAAATTTATAATAATAATAATAATGAAATTATAAACATTGATACATTTTTACGCTCTATTGCGGAAATATTTTATTTAAAATTAAAATTGTAATTTAAAATAAACGTAACATTCAAAATTAAATTTTAAAAAATTCTTTATGTACAAAATAATTACATTTTCTGTAGTTTTCTTGTTTTTCTCGAAAATTTTAATAATTTACAATCGATTAACGTGTAATTTTATTTCCCACGAAACCGGTAGATAAATAATTTCAAGCGTTGTTAATTTATTCTGTCTTCGCCGTAATTAGGGGAGATCGGGGCAAGATCGGCATGTTAAGCTTTACTTAAATTTTGTGTAATAAATACTGCTGTAAACTGAAAAAAAAAAAGCTTTGCATATTGTCTATTGGAATGTTTTCTTACTATAGAACTGGTTAAAATCAGTTTGGAAATAAAAATAATTAAAATAATTACAACTTTACAAGAAGAGAGAAATTGACGAAGTTGCCCCGGGTATAGGGGCAAGATCGGCAACTTCTCTCTTTTTGTAAAGTTGTAATTATTTTAATTATTTTTATTAAAGTTGCCCCTGGTATAGGGGCAACAGTAATGGGGCAAGATAGGCACGTATATAAAATTATGTTATTAACCATGTATAAGTTGGAATTCACTATTAGAACAAAGAAATACAAATCCAACACCCATTTAATATTATTACAACGAAATGCAAGTTCAAAGACATATATACATGAATAACAAATGCAAACACGTTTTCATTTATCATCTGTTTGATTTTTATCCTTTGCTTCTAATGTGGCTTTATGTTGCCGATCTTACCCCGCTAGTCATGATTTCGAAACATTAAGTACAACCCTGAGAACAGAATGCCGAGCCACGATCTGGCCACGTGAATAAGTTGAAGTTACATCCTTCTAACAGGAAAAGTAACTTTCGTTATCATGCAATTATAACAAAACCTGCCAATTCAATATAAATGGAAAAAAAATATTATATGGAATTGAACGAAAATGAAAATTTGCTCGATAATTCAACTACGCTTGTTGGAGAACAATAAAAACACTACACTCAACAAGCCACCAATAAAACTCAACTGCCTAACCTATAACCAAAGTCTCCTTTTAATTTGTTTTTTAAAAAAAGCGCTTGACAAACTTGCCCCGCTTGCCGAAGTTGCCCCGATCTCCCCTACTTACAGTTTCGCCAGAAACTACCTCGAAGTGACGTTATTGTCGCATTTTCTCTTAAGTAAGCTGTGAGAATGACGTCAAATTGACATAAACGTACGAATGCACCTTGGACTTTAATTTTCTTTTAGAAATCGACAATAATTGGAAACATTTAATAAATTATAGAAAATAGACGAATTGAGTTTATAAAAGGGATTAAACGGGTAATTTATATTTTGCATTTAAAATATTGTAAAATAAACGAAGAATCGATCTTCAGTATTGGTCATTACTAAAGGCCGCATTTGCTTACGTCGAATGTTTAATAAAAACACGTGAAAAATTACGATAGTTTATAAAACTTTATAAACTATCGTAATTTTTATTATAGTGAAATATCGTTTTATAGTTTTATCAAACTATAAAACGATATTTCACTTTTAATAAATGGCGAATACGATATTATTCGAAGCTCGGATAAATGCCGACAAAGTAATAATGAAAAAGTTTTGCGCTAGAAAATTTAGAATAGAATTGAGCGCCGAAGATTAAATTCGCGCAATAAATAGGAACTAAACATAGAAACGAAGTATATAACAAACTGGCTACTACTACAATAATAAAATTATGGTAGTTTTTGGAAACGTAAATAAATTTTAAAGCGGAGAAATCAAGGTAAAGAAATATAATCGGGCTTACAACGTACAATAAATAAACG